TTCGTGCAGTTGGAGCAGTCTATAAATTGTCGGTAAGCCCAAACACATTATTAATTAGAAAAGGATAAACTGTTCCTGACAAGCTACGAGCTCATTTGGATTCGTTTGAAACTGAAAAATTTCTTTATGAAAAAGAAAAGTTTATCTCGCACGCAAAATCACCTTCCCAATATCACCCCTGAAGATAATGATATGGTCCAAACCGAGCAATGAAGTTGATTCTACGAATCGGCAGCGTTTCATACGGAAGCGTGTTGCTGCCAACGCGAAAAAGTTGGGGGGTTTTTTGGCCTCGTTTAAACGACTTCTAATCTCATTTAAACGACTTAGTTAACTCATTTAAACGACATATCTACATATACATGCATATCATTTAAGTGAGATATCTATGTTGTTTAAACGAGATAACTTAGTCGTTTAAACAAGATAACTATGTCGTTTAAATGAGATAAAATAATTTACTTTTTCGCGTTGGCAGCTATACGCGTCCGTAGTTTCAAAAGTTCAGCAAAGGAACACAAACATGAAAAAAATGCACATCTTGCATGGGGACCAGCTTTGATCTGCTGATCGACCTCGCCTGTGCAGCAATAGGCAGGCACTGCGTTCAATGAATTTCTTGCAAGACAGACTTTACAAGCTGCGAATTGAGTGTCAAAAAAGAACATTTACCTAATTCCCCTTGTCAAAGCAGTGAACGAAGTATTGACACAAGGCACTGGAAATGATACACAAAGTAAATAACAAACTCCAAAATCGGCCAATTTTCAAAAATGACAACAAATGCAAATGGCATACACTATATCTTTAATTATTTGCCAGGTATGAAAGGACCTTACCTTCGAATACACATATTTCAGTACGAGACATAACCTCAGTTTCGAATTTCATTGAAGGCAACTTTCGATTCGTGAACACGTATCAATTAATCTGTTCTCCGCAATAGTAATACAAATTCTGAAACTGGTCAACCTGAGTTAAGTAAACTATCAATCTGGACGAATCAAAATCTACACCTATTTATTGTTCTTCATGTTTTGTACGATCATGTACAATGTTAGATTCCTCAGTGCATCTTCGTGGGGAATACTTTTGTGCACATGAGATGTACTGCCCTCCTTAAGATGTTTCTAATCTCAATTTGGCAGCCAGCCAAACTCCTATCACTGACGAAATGGGAGTCAGGAAATAGCTCCACATGTAGCTCCCGTGTCTTAATACTTGGTCACACTGGATGATGATGTCATTGACATGGAGTAAAACCGCCTAGTAAACAAGAAAACACAAGCTATGGATACGTGTACTACAGTATTACTACACAAACACCACACATGTATGAGTCTCTAGTCTCAAAATACACTGAGATTCATGCTAATAACTAGTCAAACGAGTACATGTCCATGTAAATATTGAGCTCATGGAGCCCTAAATATGTCTATTAGTAGGCCTATAAGTGCAGAAAATAGCCACACACATCCCCATGAACACATGGATCGCTTGGTGTGTTATATGTTGTTGCATCCTTATAGAACATGCCAACATGTGGGTTTAATACATGTGTAAACAAGGTAAACTTGACATGAAAAGCGAATGTTATAAAGGCCTCTAAACTACTTGATAAGGAAAACAACTGGACTCAACTTACAGGCAATGCTTCACTAGGCGCTGTATACAGTTAGCAAGGAGCGAGAGGAAAATTTGTGCCCTGAAAATGTGGGAAAACGATGCACAAATTCACTGTGAGAAATCCACTGTCTAAGGATGAGTGTAAAGCATGGTTCTCAGATTACCGGTCCAAGGAGGGCGCTATTAAGAAATACAATGGAAGCAATG